GCAGGTGAGCAATGCATCTAGTTTTTCTTACAAGCATCTGCTCAGATAACTAGCAAGGGGTCAAGAGAGGAGAGAACAAGGCCCAGGAAGGCCTGTATCCAGCTATCTAGAGCTCTCTGAAGATAAAGGTCCCATCCCAGTTTAGCTGCTACAACAAAATACCGCTGGCTAACTGGCTTATAAACAGAAAAGGGGCCTCCCTGGTGGTGCAGGGGTTAAGGTCTTGGCCCATCAAGCTATTGCTTATGTGGCCTGAATTCGATCCTCAGTCAGGGTGCTGACCCACATGGTGCAGTAGACTCTCCTGAGGTCACCTGCTGCTGCTCCCCTCAGCAATGTATTTCAGTCTGCCTGTTCTGCTCCCACTCTGTCTCTAGTGAATCCTCCCACGCCCAGCACCACTGGTCTACACCCCAGATAAAACCTTTCAAATAAAACCAGAAATGGTGTATTTCTCACAGCTTGAAGGCTGGGATTAAGATGAAGGAGCCAGCAGATGTCGGGGGTGGGGGGTCTGGTGAGGGTCCCCTCCTGGTTCACAGGCTGCTAACTGTGATGTGTTCTCACGGTGGAGCGAGTGACCTCATCCCAGAAAGAGCACCACTGAAACTGCCCCTGGTTTAGGGCTCTACATCAGGTTTCGAGAGCAGCAGGTCCAATCTCCTGGACCCCTGGGGCTTTCAACAGTAGGGTGGATGATGGTGCCCTTCACTGACTGGGACCATGATCCACCCTACTGTTGAAAGCCCCATTCTTCCTCCTTCACCTTCCACATCCAAGCCACCACCAATTCCAATGCAGTATTGCTTGAATCTCCATATCCTGTTCTCTCCTCTACTACCACCCTAAAAAGTCATCTCTCACTCAGATTCTGCCTCAGAACCTGTAGGCATCCAGTCCTTTCTCTACAAGCAGCCATGCAGGTCTTTGAAAATTAAATCAGACACGTGATACACCACAGACATTATCCTAAACTCTACATTGTTGGCTGCTGCCTGTGAGCTGTCGGGAAGGGTTTTCGAGTTCATGGTTTAAAATATTTTATACCTAATAAATGGATGTAAGAAATTGTTATTTGTTAGTCATGCCTTAACAAAGCTGAATAAAATAAATGAAGTCTTATCCTTCCCGGGTAAAACTTGAGGTTTCCGATGGCACATGGAACATGGCCTCCAGAGGATCCTGCTCCACCCCCCACCCCCAACACACTGATTCTTCCAGCCAGTGACTGAAGCTCCTCTGATCTGGGGTTTTGGAAACTGCTCCACACCTCCCTCTCTCCCTGATCTTTGCCTGGCTAATTCCGTCAACATCCTTTCAGTCTCAGCTTCGTCACTATGTAAGAGAAGTTTCCTGACCTGCCCAAACTTAAACCACCTACCTGTTGCCCCCCACATAAGTAAACTTTCTTTTTCCTTCATGGCACTAAACCTATTTCATAATCACAAATGTGGGGCGCAGCTATATATTTAAAATTATGTTATTCAATGAGTTCTGTTAAGGCTAGTTTACTCTCATTCAAATCTAGAAACAGACCAAAGATTTAGAGACACTATGAGAGGAAGAAAAATGTCCCCAGTAACCAGATGTAAAAGTTCAAGACAGTGTGTAGTATACAATAGCCCTTAACTTCCACAACATCTAACATACCTTACTCATTTTGCTGAGTGGCTGATGGGCTGGACGGCTGTTGTGAATGTCACCAGCCTTTTGGAGTGGCCATCCTCGCACTGCTTGATATTAAGCTGCTCCCGCTAGAAGCATGATTTTTGGCTTGCTGCAAACAGTTTGCATATCTTAGAACTATGCAACATGGCAGTAAGTTGAAGTCTCCGAGGGTGGCGGTTCTCAAACTGTTTATCCAGGCATAATTTTTTTCATGTCCTAATTTCTTGTTTAAAGCTGCATACTATTCCATCACCTATTTTGCTTTTGCTTATCCAGTACTTCACCAGCTCACTTCTGATGGCTGCTTTGTTGGCTTCCACCTTTTGGCTGTCACGACTAATGTTGATGTGAACACAGGTGAACACTTTCATGCCCTCTGGGCACACCTCCAGGGCCACTCCTAGGTTCTGCTAGGTCAGGACTTAAATCTTATGATTGAAGTTTTTGAGGACTCACCATATCGTTTGCCACAGAGGTTTCACATTTTGCATTCCCACCTGCAAAGCCTGAGGGTTTCACATCCTCCACATCTTGGCCCACACTTACTGTGTCCTGTGTTCATGACTTGTCACTCTAATGGGCGTGTCAGACCCTTCCTCACCCAGCACTTGAGGTTACCTTTGTTGAGCCACTGAAGGTGACAAGTGAGATAAAGCCACTTGTTATTTCCAAACTGTGACCAGGAGAGTTCTAGTATTTTTCAAAGAGAGCTTCCAGCTGCAGGGCATGAATGGCATAGAGTTAGTGGGGTTGAAATGATGGTGGGGTGGGGTAGAAAGGACAATGGGGTGCCAGGTTGCTCAGTGGACAGGTGATGGAGGTGATGACCTCTGAGAGTAGCTCTACATCAAGCCCTGGGAGACAGCCCTCCATCAGCCCAAGCAGCTCACCAACTCCAGAACTAGCTGCCTCCACTTTCTGGCTGAAGTGATAATGGGATTTCTTTTCCTTTTCTTTATTATTTTTTTTTTTTATTTTTTATTTATTTATACATACAGAACTGGGGTACAAGCCAGAGTTGCAGGGCGGTGAGAGGATTCACCAGAGACAGAGGGGGGAGAATAGGCAGATCGAGAAGTACACTGCTGAGGGGAGCAGCGGGTGGGTGAGGAGAGGTCTGCCACACCATGTGGGTCACCTCCAGGGCAGGTGGGGATCGAACTGATGCTGAAGTGGCTTTAGCTTCTTAGTGCTGCGCTTTAACCCGCTGCACCACCAGGGAGGGCCCTCTTTATTCTGTTTTCATCCTCAATTTTTGGCTTCTCTGTTACCTAGCAATCTATGCTTTGAAGGGATTAGTTTTCTGATAATCCCGAGTGCAGGATTCTATGACAGCAGGGGCGCCATTTCCATTGTGAGTCACGTACTGAAGGTGCCTGGGTTTGTGCAGTCCACAGCCTGTACAGTGATGAGGGCAGCCACGTGCACTGACGTGCAGGATGAGACCGTGAAATCTTACGTTTATACTGCCTGAGTTAAAAAAGTCTCTGCTGGGAACCTCCTTAGTGGCGCAGTGGGTTAAAGCGCAGCATTATGAAGCTCCCCACAGCCACTGCAGCACAAGTTCGATCCCTAGCCGGGATGCTGACCCACATGCCGTGGCAGACCTCTCCTGTCCCGCCCGCTGCTCCCCTCAGCAGTGTATTTCAGTTAATCTGCCTGTTCTGCTCCCCCACTCTGTCTCTGCTGAATCTCACCCCTGCTCCTCTGGCCTGTACCCCAGTTCTGTATGCATAAATAAATCAATCTTTAAAAAAATATATCTCTGCTGTTTTGACTTTATAAAGTTTTTTACAAGTTGTCAATAAAATGTGTTATGATAAAATTATTGCCTGTTATTTTTATGATAGAAAAATGGAAACAAATGTTCATTAATATACTATAGGTTCCATAAATTGTAGCAGGCTCAGGAAGCTATAAGGTGAGGACTGCGCATAACGGAGCGCTGATACGGAAATGGTAAGGTATGGAATTACATGAAAACAGTGAGTAAGGTACACTCCTATTTTTGTAAAAAAGGAGAACATGGAAGACCCGTACAGTAAACATACAATACTGACTTCCATGTGGATGAAACATTTCTGGAAGAACACGCCAGATCCTTAGGAGCTAGAATGGGAGATTTTCCTTATACTATATATCCTTTTATATATTTTGTGGTGTCTCTACAGCCCATTGTCTTCCTGGCTTCAGAGACCAGAAAGTTCCAGCTTCTTCCCAGATTCCTTTGAAGCTGGAGGTGGAGAAAAAGGTTCCAGAATATTGAAAATACTTTCACCAATGCAGAGTAGCAGCCCCTTGACATGCTGATTTTTAAAAAATTATGTTTCCTGAAGTCATGTTGCTTTACAAGATGGTATGTTTCAGGGGTATAGGTTTACATTCCTACAAATGTACGTTATCACTCCCCAAACCTCCGCCACCAAAGCACCGAAAGTCTTCCACTGTCGCCCACTGTGCGCCTCCTCCTTTGCTCCTCCCTTTAATAGTCCCAATTCTGCAATGAGATTTCTAGGGTTTGGTCTGTTTTCTTTCTGTTCCTTTGCTTTTTTTCTTTACAAGTCACCTGGTGTTTCTCCTTTGGACTTACCTCACTTAACATCATCCCCTCCTGTTCAATATGTGTTATTGCAAATGGCAAAGAGTATGGTCCTTTTCTTTTTAACAGCTGAGTAATATTCCACACATGTCTGCACCACATCTCCTTAATCCACTCATCTGTAGTGGAGCTCGTTGGTTGTTTCCATAATTTGGCTACTGTGAATAGTGTTGTAATGAACTTACAGTTTTGCTTAAGATAGAGGTTGCCATTACCCTGGCAGTCCAGGTACTGGGCTTGCTGACCTGAAGTACTTCCTGGAGACCCATGAGGGATTCACTCCCCTCAGCCTTTCAAAGATACAGGAAGCACTCAGTTTCTCAGACTACATGTCTGCTTAAAAAAATCTACTGTGATTTTTATTTCTTGTAGTGACCCTTATAGGTAAAATTGCATATCACACATTTAAGTGAAAATAATAAATGAAAGTCATCACTGAGCAAAAATTCAACTCCCAACAAATTTAATTCCCATATGCTACAACGATGCCTGGGTTTTACTTTTTAAAAAATACATCATGTCTTGGTAAAACATTAACTCTTCAATGACTATCCATGGCTTAGTTGATGATGCAATTTAACACATATCTTGTCAGATTAGAAATGTCTGTGAATATGTGTGCAAAGAGATAAGACAAAAATTAGGTTTTCTCAGAAGGCATGTCATTTACAAATATTTCTAATAAAATTCTAGAAACAGAACACAAATTTTAGTATTTCTTGGTTTCTGTTTTATTTAATGCAAAATAACTAATAACAAAAACATTTAAAAAATATCTCCAACGCTTGACTATTCAGTTATTTTTGGTTGATGACACTGGATTATTTAGTTCTTGCTTGTCTGAAACAGCTGTATCCATAAACGGATCTCTTAAAGTTTGCAGCAGACTTTAGGCCTGTAGGCTTAGATGCTAATCAAATCCACGATGTAGTTGCTAGTTTTTATTCTAAATATTTTTTCCCCTTACAGAAGATTATTACAACGAATAAGCCTAAGAAGGCTATTCATTGGTTTTGAGTGAAATGCCCAAATACAACACATACATACAACTCACACATGTATGCTTTAATCTTTTACGATCTAGAATACGACTGTGTGACTTTGGTGGAGTTATATCACAAACGTATTTAACTTACACCGATTCAGTATAGGAGGTGACGGAAACAAAAAAGGAAATAGCAGCAGATCCCGTGATGATGCCAGCTACTCGCTGATTAAATGCTCATTAATAAACGAAGACAAGTGCTGTCCACCTGGTTTCCAATGGTCACTGTCCATTGACAGCTAGCTGCCTCTTTGAGGGCAACTTCTTGTAGGGGGACGTGTGATTCTCGTGTTTAGGCGTATTTTTTGAAAAGAAAAAATACATAATGGCTCCCAAACAGTTATCAACATCTTCAGCTGGTTTTCAAGCGAAGAAACTGTCATTTCTTCCACTGATGGGCCACTTGTTCCAGATTGCCAAGATAGTGTCTTTCTAAAGGGCTTTCAAAGATTAATGTCCCATTTTAGCTTCTGAACTTCCATTAGAAACTCATCCAGGGTACGCTACAACTCCACTGTCATGTATACTAAAATGCCACACTACATCAAAAAAATTTGCCATAACATTGTCAGTATAACTTAATTTTCGGTTCAGTTTCTTCCTCACAATTAGCACAGTGTTTATGTGGTACTCTCCTGGTGCCAGCACGCCAGAACATAAGTCACTGGGTGAGAAAATCTCATGATGAAAAGATTAGTGTTATAAAATCCGAACCAAAAAACCTACCACGTTGATCAGTCTCAGTCTGATTCAGGATAGGATTTTCAATTAGCAGATGATGCAGGAAAAGTGGAAAGTAGCTGTTTTGTTGCGATGACACTCCCAGGGATCTTCTCTGCTCGCCTCCTTCCCTAGCGTCTCTAAATTGGCAGCTACATCCTATTCCTTAAACACTTGGCCTAACCTCACCACTGCCAGGGTTCAGTTTCTATTTTTAAAAGCACCATTCTAATGGAAATGTCCCTGCCCTAAGGAAGCAGAGACTGCGGATTTTACTGCTAGCTAGAGCTGTTATGTCATCGAGTTTAGGTTAATTTGGTAGATATTGATTTCCTTGCCTATGACTTCGAGACTCACGTCAGCTCCTTCTAGTCGTGTAGGATTTCTACCTGGGCTGTAGGTGAGGGTAAAATATCCCGTGGAGAACGCCTTCCATGACCACATTTGGAAAATCTGAAAAACAAAAGGAAGCCCGCGTTTTTCTCATGCACATAAATGAAATATGATTGCACTTTGTAGAACTGAACACGGTAAGGCTAACTACAGCTGCAAGTCTGCTGTGCCCCACGGTTTGCCCTGGTGCAGATTGTGCTTTTTGTCACAGTGCTGCAGCCCAAAGCCACTTCCGTGCCACCAGGCGCTGCAGGAATGCATGGCCAGATTTGTAGCTTATTGATTTAAGGGATGTTCTAATGGTTAATGCTGCTAGGCCCCAGCTCTTTATCTGAATGTTTTCTCACAAGGAAGATGGATTACACTGGCAATTCAATTTCTAGCAAAATCTCAATATACTTGAAGGAATTCCAAGATTTCTACTGGGAATAGTTTGCTGCAGTTTTTCCACTGTGGTTTACAGCAGCATTAAGTTCAAGTGGCCTTGAGAATGCTTTCTCTATTACACCAGCTTCCAGGGAACGGTGTCCTCCTGGCTTAAAAGGGCAGATTTCCGACAAAGGCCATCCTGTCAAACTCAAAACTCAGCTACCTTTTTGTCAGGCACACAAAGGAAAGCTGGAAGTGAATGGGGTGGTGGGCCACATTCCAGGTGTCAGAGCAGGTTGAAATATAAAGGGATTGGGCCCTCCCTGGTGGCGCAATGAGTTAGGATGCAGCACCGCAAGCTGGCCACAGCCACTTCAGTGTGAGTTCGAT